TGTTGTATCTTATCGGTGAAATAATTATTGAGAATTTACCAAATGTTCCATACTATATTGGATGCTATAAAGTGACTGCCAAAGGATTATGAAATTTGGACATCCTGATTATCATTACAGTATGACAGAGGGCTAGATCTTAAAGGGGGCTTACGGAATCCAATGGGAGTCTGTCCCCTGCAACAGCACCAGGACATTAAAAAATTACAATGCATAGGTGAGTTTTTTTTTTTTTTTTAAGTCATGGTTCTTTCACTTATTGTTTTAAGATAAATAAAGCACTTAACATTCGGTCTTCATATTAAGTAATTGCTATCCACATAAACAGCCCAGAAATAATTGAATTTAGAAAGCAAAATACAGGCCAGGTATGATGGCACACTCTTATAACACCAGCACTCTGCAGGCAAAGGCAAGAGAACCCCTGTTAGTTCAAGGCTAACCTTAGCTACATACTGAGTTCAAGGCCAGCCTGAATTACATAGCCATTTCAAAAAAAGAAAAGAAAGTAAAACACAATAGATCCTAGTAAAAACTTACACTTAAAAATTTCACTCAGAATCTATGTGTCTATAAAACATGATATGGACTCCCTCTGCTGGTGTTTAATAGCAAAAGCTCCATGATACCAACAAAATTGATGACAAAAGAGAAAAAGAGCCCAGTAGCTAATCTACATTCACCTTCTTTAGATTAGGGATGCTTCATAGTTCATTTGACTATGGATCAGTCAAAGGCAACATTAAAAATGGTTGTTTTGGGCCAGGGATTTAGCTCAGCGGTTCTGCCACCTTCCTCAAAAGCACAAGGTCCCAAGTTCAATCCCTGGTACAGGGGTGGGGGGTGGGTGGGGGGAGGCTGTTTTTACTGCAACGACTGAAAAGAAAAGTAACCAGAAAATTGTACATCTTGTGCCAGGGATTTAGCTCAGTGGTTCTGCAACCTGCCCGCAAGCACAAGGACCAGAGTTCAATCCCCGGAACCAAAAAAAAAAATACACACACAAAAATATTTCAGATTTTGAGACACGGGGAAATTTCGTATTTTTGGATTAGGGATGTTTAACCTATACTTATTGTTTGTCCTGTTTTGTTTTGTTTGAGATAGGGTCTTTCTATGTAGTTCAGGCTGGCCTTAAACTCGCTATGTAGCCCAAGCTGGCCTCGAACTTGTGGCGATCCTCCTACCTCAGCCTCTCAAGTTCTGGGATTACAAGAATGTGCCACCAAACTGGCATCTATATTATACTTCTATAAAACTTGTGTAATCTTTAGTTTGTTCCTAAATACGATTAATAATCCAAAACAGAATCAGCAGTCTTCTAAGTTTTAGCACTGGCAGAGTAATTTGATTTGACTAACCCTGTCACAAATAGATAAATTCTGGACAAAACTTTTGTTTATAAATTCATTATTTGAAGGCATTAATGACCAAGATAAACGAGGGAGAAAGTGTAACTACTGAATCTAGGAACTGGTGGCTTTTTGCTTGACAAAGACCCCCCACCCCATCCACAAAGATCTCAGGTAACTTTGACTTACTAGCTTGAAATATCAAAGAGTTGAGGGCAGAAGTGTGGACAAAAAACTAGGAGTGAGACCTGAGAGGAAAAGTAGAAGGAACGAAGCCCTATATACGCAAATAAACCAAAGTTTTCTCTCCCTGTTGTATGTTTTCTCACACATATATGAGGGAGACTCGAAGGAGTCCAACAATAATGTAGCACCTGGAGGCTGAAAAAATGAAGCAAGATTTAAGTTGTTGTCCAACACCAAGGAGACAAAAATTTGGAGTCTGAATTGAGGCAAGCTGTCTGCTGGAATAAAAATCACATTTCAGAAGAAAATAACAAAATCCAGAGTCTCTATAATGTTTGTTACAATGTCTAGTATCCAATAATAAATCATTGATTACAGAAAGAAAAAGAAATACGTGACCCATAGGCAAAAATATGTAGTCAATAGAAAACAATGGCAAGATGACCCAGATGATGCAATAAATAGTCGAGGTCTTTACTTTTTTTTTTTTTTGGTACCGGGGATCGAACTCACAACCTTGTGCTTACAAGGCAGGCGTGGTGCCACTGAGCTAAATCCCTGGCCCAATAGTCGAGGACTTTATTTTTTTGTTTTGTTTGATTTTTTTTTTTTGGTACCAGGGATGGAACTCAGGTCCTTGTGCTTGCGCAGCAGGCGGCAAAACCATTGAGCTAAATCCCCAGCCCTAGTCAAGGACTTTAAATCAGGTATTATAAATATGTCCAAGGACTCTAGGAAAATAAGCACATCATAATCGAACATTTTAACAGAGAAACATGAACTACAGAAAATAATCAAAAGGGGGGCCAGGGATTTAGCTCAGTGGTTCCATCGCCTTCCTCACATACGCAAGGTCCTGAGTTTGATCCCCAGTACCAAAAGAGAAAAGAAAATAACCAAAAGGAAATTCTAGTGCTAAAAAAATAATTGAAACAAAATGTTCCTTGAACTGAATTAACACCAAATTGAAGACGGCAGAATAGTTATTAAACTTTAAGTTAGAGCATTAGAAATTATCTAATCTAAAACATAAACTGAAAAACTATTGAGAAAATATAAGCAAAGCAGTCCCAGAATAAAAGGAAAATTTAAATCTCAAAAAAAATTCTGTTGGGACTGGGGATTTAGCTCAGTGGTTCCGCCGCCTGCCTCGCCAGTGCAAGGTCCCGAGTTTGATCCCCAGTAGACAAAAAAAAAAAAAAAAAATTCCGTTGAATAATCTATGAAAATGTCCCAAATAGTGAAAAGACATCAACATACAGATCCAAAAACATCAAGAAATTCCAAGCAAGAAAACCACCCCTAGATATATCATAGTCAAACTTCTGAAATACAAAGAAAAAAAAACTTTTGAAAGCAGTCAGAAAAAAAGAACACATTACATATAGGATAAGAACAAGATCAAAAAAAAAAAAAATCCAAAGACAAACAAAACTAGGAGGAAATATTAGAGAAAAGCTTTATCTGACCATGGTGGGCTTGTATCCATATCAAACGAAACAAAACAACTTGAAAACAAAGGAAATAACCTAATTTTTGAAAATGAGCAAACATTCAGGAAGGAAGATTTACAACGTCTATGAGTGGGGGAAAAAAGTACATTGTCATGGAAATGCAAGTTCATACAGTACAAGATGTCACTTCACATTCTAAAATAGCTAAAATTAAAAAGACTTGACAGCACTAAATGTATAATAAACATAATCCTCACACATTGCTAGGACTCTAAAATGGGACATTTTTGGAAAAGGGTTGGCACTAACCTTTCCTAGATATTTATCAAGAGAAATAAAACGTGTTATCTACAAAAAGACTTGAGTTTTATTCACAATGGCCAAAACTGAGACAATCCCAAAGCTCACAGAGAGAAGGATAAATTGTGATGTACTTACACACAAGAAATTGTGATATACGACTGATTCATGCAAAACATAAATCTCATAAGCAATGCATTGAAGGAAGCTAGATAAAATATGTATACACTTTATGACTCCATCTCATTACATTTAAGACAAAGCTAAGATTAAACCAAAACTCAGCCAGGCATGGTGGCGCATGCCTGTAATCCCTGCACTTGGGAGGCTGAAGCAAGAAGATTCCCAAGAGCTCAAGGGCAGCCTGAACTACACAGCAAGACATTGTCTCAAAAACCAAAAACAACAAAACTCAACAGATCAGAACAGAGAAAAACAATTTAAAAAACGATGACAGGTCAAACATATAAGGGGTGATTAAAAATTTCAGTGAATGTTTAAGTTTTTAAAAATGTGTTTCAATAAAAGACATATTGCCATTAAGCCCCTCAAAATACTCCTTACTTCAGTTATCCCAGTTCTGGATGTCTCCTTTTGTGTCTTTAGAAGGTATGATAAAAAAATAAGGTGAATGTCACTGTCAAGTGCCATCCAACAGAAAGGCAGGCTTATAAAAACATTATGGTGTTGAGCTGGGGATATAGCTCAGTGGTTCTGCTGCCTGCCTTGCAAGCACAAGGTCCCGAGTTCGATCTCCAGTACAAAAAAAAATTATATATATATATTATGGTGTGTCTTCATTCATTTCATTTACTAGATCTGGCACTATGTGACTTCTGGCTCTTCTCCAAAGTAAAAATGACCATGAAAGGTAAATGTTTTGAACTGATTTAGGACATCAAGGAAGCCACAACAGTGCAACTAAAGACATTCCAAAAAAGGTCTTCCACAACTGCTTCAGAAAGTGACAAGAACAATGGGATAAGTGTGTTCAAAGAGAGGGAGAGTATTTTGAGGGGGATTAATGCAATGTGTCTTTTACTGTAATGTGTAATAAATCAATTTAAACATTCATTGTACTCTTGCATAAAAATCAAAGTCAGACTTGATAAGGAAATAGAGGCCTACTTCAAGTTTTTAAACAAGAAACTACTTATAAAGTGTGATTTAATATTCTAGAGATTAAATTTTACTTTTATAAAACATGATAATAAAAAGCAACTCGTGTCTAGCTTGATTTGGTGAGATATCTTTTTTGGGGGGGGGGGTCCCCCAGGGATCCAACTCGGGTCCTTGTGCTTGCAAGGCAGGCAGCGGAACCACTGAGCTAAATCCCCGACCCAGTGAGAGCTATCTTAACACAGGTGAAAAATGTGTGAAAGTTTTCAGAACAATGAAGACAGACATGAATATTGCCTGATGACAATGTAAAAGTGATTCTGACTTCAAGTAAAAAAACAAAACACAGATGTCGGAGGTTTACAACGTGAATCATCTTAACACCAGTGAAAATATAGGATACAATATTAAAGATATTGTATATCTGGTAAAATATCGGGCTGATTTCAAATTTGGAGATTCACTCTGCCATTCATTTTTTAGTTCTGGCTATTGTAACTGCTCTACACTAAATGTTTTCTAATTCAAATGAATTTACTCTATGTGGAAAAAGTTCTTAGTAATAATAGAAATTAAGAACATGCATTACCTTGTGCTGAAGAGTTTGCTGCCATCTTCCTATTTTGTTTCAATTGTGCTCAGATGCAAATGATCAGCTCTTTATCATTACCTGTAGAAAATGTATGCACACACATCAAAAATGTACCATACTTTAATTGTAAACTAAAAGTTAAGAACAGCTAGCCCATTTACAATTTTTTATTCTCTTCAAAAAGATACCTCTGAAAAGCACACAGACTTAAATCACAAATTTAAAGGGTCACAAACATTTAAATATTCTTGAAGCTATTAATATCACATATATCATTGATATGCATTAAATACATATTTTAATATACATTAAATATATTTTAATACACATTAGGTTGCATTTACCAAGTACTACCAAATATATCAACAGTTAACACTGTCCATATGATTGCAGTGCTAGGAAGAAAAACCACTCATTTATGGTGCCTCTCCATTCATTAAAAAAATATACACAGTATTCATTGTGTATGCTGAAAGGTAAAAAGGAGCCTAACATTTATCTAGTACCTACTCTGCACCATATATTGTGTAAGATACTTGAAAATGGTTCATTTACTTATTTATGATCATTTTATACATTTGGAGGTCCACTGTCACAAAGCTAATGAGAACACTTCAGGCTGTTGGTTTCTACGCTTCCTGCTTTTTAAGAGATCCCAAGTGGGCTGGGGATTTAGCTCAGTGGCACCTCGCCTGCCTCGAAAGCACAAGGTCCTGAGTTAGATTCCCCGTACAAAATTTAAAAAGAGAGAGAGAGAAAAGAGAGATCCCAAAATAAGGAACATAGAACCCAGTGGGAAAATAATCTTATTCAAGCAACCACACCAAAAAAAGCTTCCACCCAGGCATGGTGGTGCACGCCTGTATACCCAGCACTCTAGGAGGCTGAAGCAGGAGGATGGTAAGTTCTAGCCCAGCCTGAGCAATTCAGAGACTTAGTAAGACCGTCTCAAAGTAAAAAAGAAAAAAGGCTGGAGATGTAACTCAGTGAGAAGGGACTGGCTTCAATTCCCAGTATCGGGGAAAAAAATGGGGGGGGGGGGGTGATGAACAGTGCTTCAGAGGCAACGAACTAATTTTCTACTGGAGTGATACCTGATTCTTTCAGGAGAGCCCAGGATAAATGGGCTAGAAAACAGACACCAGTTTTAAATAAATGAATGGTCAGGTGTCTGCTGCGGCTGAGGCACAGGGCGCACGAAGCCGGTTTAGGACTGCAGGGCATCAGGGCCAAAATGTGAAAGCGATGTGGCAGGGCTGAAGGGCATCTCAGACGGGTCCTGCCCGCAGGTGGAAAGCAGGCTGGGAGAGGAAGGAAACGCGAAAAGCAAGAAGCCTTCTGTGCAAGGTCGGCGGAGAGATAGCTTCCCCGTGGCAACGAAGACGGCAGCGGCAGGTCAGTGCCGGGGCCACACTACCCTGCTTCCCGGCGCAGCCAGGCTGTCCTACTTACCTGGGACAGGAGGGCGCCCTGGGGTCCGCACTGTCCGATCACGGCTGTCCAGACGGCCACGGGACCGCAGAGGAAAAAATACCTCTACCCCAGCTCCACAACCTTCTCGCCCCGCCTCGCTTCCGCTTCCTGACTGATGTAAGCCGAGAGCGGAAGTCCCGCCTTCCGTTTGGACCCTAAGGCCGCGGTCCAAAGGGATTTGCATTTTATTTTTATTTTTATATTTATTTATCTACCTAGTTATGTATCTATCTATCCTTTTATTTATTTATTTCAGGGGTTCGCATTTTAACGGCTGCTTCAGGGCAGATGTGTTTCCTTTCTGAAAAGAGGCAGCCGAAGAGGCTCATGGGAGATGCAGGCAGCACTGTTGGGGGCGGGGCCAGGACGGGGTGGCTAGGCAGGGGCGGGGCCAAGAGTAGCTGGGTCCCTAGCACTGAGATTCGCTATTTAGTTTTTGCAGTTCCCTGGAGAGAATCCAGGGTGCAACTGAGGGAATCCACCTCAGCTGAACCTTAGAGGGAGGCTAGACTGGTTTTCAAGCTTTAACAATCATCTCAAATTGCATTCCTAAACATACACACAAATCTCAGGAATATTTTTCATCTACAGTTTGCAAAATTATACACAAGGAAAACTCTAAACGGAAGTTTTTACTACTGTGCAATACATCTTAAAATAGCAAGATGCTGCTAGAGGGGATACCTGATGCTGCTTTGCAGCCCACTAAATCTACACATTTGCAGTAAGCTATAAACGTATTGATGTGTCACCTGTTTCATGGTGGTTAAACCCATTACGCATCTTCTTTAGAACTTGAAGAAACCAGTAATTGATGCTCAAGAGTAAATTATGATGCACCCTTTTTGTTTTGCATGGATCCATGGCTGAGATAATTTTAATAATGAAACATTTATTTAATCCATACCGAGCAATTACTGTTTTTTATATGCCAGGTGCTTGCAGTGCATCGATTCAGGTCCTGTCATTCTCTGAAGCTGTGTATAAGACTGAAATGTGTTAAGTAGTGAACTAAGATTCAAAGGTCTGCCAGGTGTTAAGGGCCAAGTTCTTACGCTTCCTTTGCTCTGGAGGAAGCATTACCTCTGAGGCTCGCTCCTGTTGACTACTTGGTGTAAAGCATGACAGTGTAAAGCATGACACATAAGCTTTTTTGTGTGTGTGGAACCGGTGATCGGACTCAGGACCTTGCGCTTGTGCGGCAGGCGCCGGAACCACTGAGCTAAATCCCCGGACCTAGTTTTCTTGAGTTTAAATCTCAGCTTTGACACTTGAGGATATTGAGTCCTGCTTTAACCTTTTGTGTCTCCATTCTGCCATCTATAAAATGGGAACAAAAATAAGTGAATGAATACAGCATGTAGTAAACTCTTTGTATAGTACCTGGCACACAGTAAGTACTCAATAAATGTCAGGTCTTAGTATTATAAACAATAAAAATGCTAAATAAAGACCCAGAGACCACCAATAGGGGCAGATTTATTAGCAAAGGTACAGCAGCATGTTAGAGTCTGAAGTAGAGACTTCAGCCTGCCCCCAAGAGCTAGGGCAGCCGCTTTTAAACCCGGGGTAGGGGGCAGAGCTTGGGCCCTAAGTGGAATGAGGGATGGAATGAGGAAGCTAGCTAGCTTTTCACCTAAGTAGAAGTTAAACTGCTAGGGGTGGGGATGGGGTGCTTTAAACTAATATTTCAGCCTTTTGTTATGGAGAAATAGAAAAAAAGGAAAAATAATAATAAAGAATGTTGGAGTCAGGGAAGTGTAGGGCACAGGGGTCTATGGAGAGGAAGGGGTCTAGCTAATCCTGACCGGAAAGAAATAAAAAACTTTACTGCTATTAACAAGACGAGAGAAAGCTGATAAGCCTGATAAGGCACCCTAACCAAATTAGCCTAGCCGCCCTTCCCCACCTTCAATAACATGCAAAGGAGACAAGGAGCAGCCACTAAAAAGACAGCTCTTATTCAGTATATAAAAACACACACATGTATATATTCTCTTGCTATGTTTCTTTAATTGCTAACTCAACCTTGTATGTAAGGTCTCTTTTAACCAACCTATAAATTGTTGAGATAGGGCCTGACAGGGCAAGAGAAAATCAAATAAAAACCACTTAGAAATGTGCACATGAGGCCATGGGGGTTAGGGGTCTTAGGGCCCTAAGATCCTTCTATGACAGCCCAGAGAACCAATCAAGTTATGACAAGTTCTAAGTAGGGGGAAGGGCTCTGGCACCCAATAAAACAACCAAGAACAAAGGGCCCATGGGTTCTCCTACCCTCTCACACAGGGTAGCCTCCCTCTGCTTCTTTTCTTTCTTTCAAATAAAGTGTCTTTGTTTGCCCTTTAAACTTAGTCCCTTCAATCGTTTACTGGGGCTGAGTTTACAATCCGGGTGAACTTCTCGTACAGCAGAGCAGCAGAGCTGCGGTGCGTTACACACACCCCCAGACACAACAGAAGGGAAGACTGGAGAGCGCTGTTGCATTGTTTTGAACACTTTCATTGTTTAGGGTTATGTTTTTTCCCTTAGAGGGATTTGTCAGTGATTGATTGATTGATTTGTAAAAGGATATTCTCTACTTGGTGTTGGATGAGGTTTTGAACTGTTTTTTGGGTAAAGCACATCACAGTGAAGAACAGGAACGGTCCCACTGGCCCTGGATCTTGATTAAGCATTGTGAGATTTCATGGAGGCTCTCCTAGAAGGCCCTATGATAAGCTTTGATAGGTGAGAGAAGTGATCAGTTCTCCCACACTGGTGGCCACTTCTGTGGGTATCTCTACTGTTGTTAGAAGGGGGATTAGAGTTTTTTGTTGGTAGTGGTGGTGGTGTTTTTTGTTTTTTTGGTACTGGGGATCTAACTCTGGACCTTGCCCTTACAAGGCAGGCAGCGGAACCACTGAGCTGCCCTTTTTTGGCAGATGTGGTCAGTGATGGGGATAACTATGAGTATGCATGTACCACTGTAATATGATACTCTCTCAGGAAGATACCTAGAAGGGGAATAGCTGGGTGAAAAGGGACTTCTAGCTTTAGTTTTTGAGGAATCTCCATACTGATTTCCATAGTGGTTATATTAGTTTATATTCCCATCAACAGTATAGAAGAGTCCCCCCCACACACAGCCTCACACAGTATGTGTTATTATTTGATTTCTTGATGATGGCCATTCCTTCTAGGGTAAGATAGAATGTTAGTGTTGTTTGCATTTGCATTTCTCTAATGGCTAGTAACGTTGAGCATTTCTTCCTGTATTTATTGGCCTTCCATGAAGTGTCTATTCATTTTACTTGCCCATTTTTGTTGTTGTTGTTGTTGTTGTTGTTGTTATTTTGGTTTTTTTGGTACCGGGGATCGAACTTGGGTCCTTGCACTTGTGCAGCAGGCAACCGAAACCACTGAGCTAAATCCTCGGCCTTACTTGCCCATTTTTTGATTGAGTCTTTTATATTCTAGGCAAGAGTCCTCTGTCTAAGGAATTGCTGGCAGAAATTTTCCCTCTGTCAGACATGGTGGCGCATGCCTGTAATCCCAGCACGCAGGAGGCTGAGCCAGGGGGATCACTTAGAGTTCAAGACCAGCCTGGGCTACATAGTGAGTTCAAGGTCAGCCTGAACGACATAGTGAGATCTTGTCTCCAAAAAACAACAACAAAAAAAATGTTTTCCCCTCTTTTCACTCTGTTGGTTGTTTCTTTTGCTGCGCAAAAGCTTTATACTTTAATGTGATCCCATCTATTGATTCTTAGAACTATTTCTTGTGCAACTGGGGTTCTGTTAAAAGTCCTTGCCTACACCTATGACTTCAAGAGTTTTACCTATCTTGACTTCCAGCAACTTGTTTCTGTTTTAACATTTAGATCTTTGATCCATTTTGATTTTAGTTTGGTATATGGTGAGAGATATGGCCTAGACTCAATCTTTGCATGTGGATAGCCAGTTTTCCCAACCCCATGTATTAAACAGGCCGTCTTTCTTCTAATGCACGTCTTTGGCCTCTTTGTTAAAGATCAAATAGTTGTTTCTGCACCTCTTTTCTGTTTCATTGGTCCTCAAGCCTGTTTTTGGCCAGTACCATGATGTTTTTATCAGGATAGCTTTGTAAAATAACTCCAAATCCAGAATTGTGATGCCTCCTGCTTTGCACTTGTTACCCAGGATTGCTTTTCCCATTCTGAGTCTCTTCTGGTTCTATATGAATTTTAGGATTGTTTTCACCAGTTCTGTGAAGATCGCTGTTGGAATTTTGATTGGGATTTTACTAAATCTATATATCAATTTTGAAAATATGGCCTTCTTCATTATATTTGTTCTGCCTATCCAGAAATAGGGTTATCTTTCTATTTTCCGATGTCCTCTTCAATTTTATTTTTCAGAGTACTACAATTTCTCATATTGTTTTATTCCTCATTAGTGCAGAGTTTCATGACTGTCCAGTAGGTGCTGGGCCGAAGTATATTATCAAAGAAATTTGAGTGCTGAGGGTTTAACCCTTTTGTCATCATATTTCTCCTGATGAGTCGGAAAAAAATCAAATCATCGACAAGGGACAAAATGGTCATATCTAACTGCTTCAAGCTGAGTAGGGACATCAGTAGGGGCCTTTTTTGAATTTGCTGATAATCAGAAGTCGGGTGATTTTGAGCTTAGAGTTGAGTCTAAAGCTAGGTGATGATATCCAAATGGGTTTTTGTATAATCTAGTTTCTCTTCCAATCATATAAATCTTTTTTTAAGAGAGAGAGTCTTGCTGTGTAGTCCAGACTGGACTTGAACTTGCAGCGATCCTCCTACCTCAGCCTCCTGAGTGCTGGGATTATAGCCCTGTGCCACCACACTCAGCCAGATTGTATAAATCTCACCTTTTACCCAAAAAAATCTTGTTTTAGCAAAACATTATGGTACATTTTAGATATACATACATTCATCATAGGGAATTTGTACCAGTACATGATATATCTTGCTTCTTTTCCAAATGGGTTTTTGTAGTAGGTTTAAGTGTTGGTCCAAGCCCTATTATTAAGAACTGTGAGATTCCAAAAGAAATAAACTAAAGAAGATAGTTGTACAAACGTGAACCAAGGGGAATTATTTAAGAATAATTGGGCCGGGGATTTAGCTCCGTGGTTCTGCCACCTGCCTCGCAAGTGGAAGGACCCGAGTTCGATCCCTGGTATCAAAAAACAAAACAAAACAAAACAAAGAATAATAATTACTATAAAAAAATAATTAGGCCAGGTGTGGTGGTCCACGTCTGTAATCCCAGAACTCTGGAGGTTGATGCAGG